TTATTATCTACAATCTTAAGGAAATGTATGTCCCTTCTGAGATTACAACCCGTATCATTCAGCGTTGTAGTTAGAGACGTGGCCACTGAGCTATCCAGGCTCAAAATTACCTTCAGCCAGCCAACAACAATTCAGAGTGCACAGTGATGGCAAGTGCACACCTATCACAGTGGCCACACTGCACATTTGACTGATAGAATTCATTCTGCACCAGACGAAGGGTTAGTTGCACCACATTACTTACTACCTAGTTTCCAGTCAAAGTATCCATAAAAATCCTACAGGAGGTGAAGGGATACATTTTTTCATGTCGTGTATCGCGTGTTTCGTCCTGTCTGGTACTCGTCATCCGGATGTAAATACATTATGGTGTTCCCACAGAGATTCAAATCCAACCTTTGGATTCGAAAAGATGGATGCTCTGTTTGTATCTCAATGGGAACACTCACCTGGGATGCAAGTAGAATGCTGGCCAACCACCCACTTGTTCCTAGGTTCGATTCCCGGTCAGCACAAACCTAAACCTCACTGCTTAACCCGTAGTAAGCTCAGAGAAGAGATTAGGTTGGAAGTGAGGCTAACAGCGCCTATCTTGGAAGAACAACACCATAGCTACTGGAACTTCAAACCTGAGACTTCAAGCTCTATGTCCCACTAGGAACGCAAAGGAATAAATAAATGCCTTCAAGAGACAGGTTTCAAAGTAAATTTCGGCACCGACCGATGTCAGCTATCGAGCCATGGAAGACTGGAAAGCTGTTTTCCCATGAATAACCCAACTCTTGAATATCCATCTTCTTCAAAATAGCTCTCAATTTGGAGCTGTAATGAGTAGTCATGACTAGCGCGATCAGCTAAGCAGTATAAACGACAGTTTCTCAACAGTGACATCGGTATGTGGTTGGAGCTATATCACACGCTGAGAGAAGTTAGGATTCATATATGCTCATCTGTTATTCTGAGTTCGGTTAACGGGATACGATCTGATGAAGAGTCCTAGAACAACAGAAAACAACTGTCTAGACCCCTCTCGGTCGGTCGGTCGGTCGGTTTTCGACATAGAACTTTGCACATATGTGCGGCAGTTCAAGTCGCCACAATCCATGTAGCACGCAAAGCAAGAGAAGAAAGTAGAAGAAATGCATAATATAGTCAGTAAACAGAGGTGTGAGACAAAGGAATAGTAATAACGGAGAACAAAACAGTTTAATTGGAAATCATAAGTCACAAAGAGTGGATGCATCTGCGCCACTGAGAACGATTTTGAGCCATGTCACCAATTGTTTCCAACCATTGGTTTTTACAGTCTCGAGGACCCCAACCAGGAAGTCTACACCTTCCTACGTGGCTTAAACTAACTGTTGTGGATTTCATTGATTGGTGCCATGTTTTGGTTTGACCGCCGCTAGCTCTTTTCCAGCCTGGCCCTATATCAGCTAACATTGCCCATTGTCGAGGAAGGCGATGACTAGGCATACGTAGCACATGTCCTAACCATCTCAGTCGATGTAATTTCACAGTCTCGTCGATTGATTTCCCCTCCTTACCTAGCACTCGACCGATGGCCTAACCTCAGTATTGCTCACCTTATTATACCACTTCACACGGGAGATAGAACGCAGACACCTATGATCGAAGACAGCTAATCTTTTCATGTCTTCTGCTCTCAATGGCTAGGTCTCACAGCCATAAAGGAGGATGGAGCGGACTGTTGAGCAGTACACACGCCCTTTGGTTGATAGTCGGATATCACGTCTACGCCAGAGATGGCGTAAACTGGCATATGCGAACCTAGCCCTCTGTATTCGTGCTGATATTTCGTCTGAGATCAACCCGTTGGGGCTGATGGTACTTCCCAAGTAAGTGAAGCGGTCAACGTGCTCTACCACTTCACTTCCTATTTCTAATCTAGGGGTCGATGAAGTCCAATCCTGCAGCATCATCTTACATTTTACAGGGGCGAATCGCATGCCAAACATACGAAGATTGTTGCTCAGGGTGTTCAGTAGACTCTGCATTTTGTCAGAGTCCTCGCCTAGAAGGACTATATCGTCTGCATATTCTAAGTCAACGAGATTATTCCCTGGTAGCAAGTCAATCCCTGAGTCGCTGAAGTGAGTTAGGGTTAAGTCCATTAGTACGTCTATGATGAAGTTGAATAGAAATGGGGATAATGGACGGCCGCCACTAGTCGTCACCACTTCAGATGACAACTCGCCGTAAGCCATCACCTGGCTGCATGAGTACGAGTAGAGTGCCTTAATCAGTGCAATGTATTTTCTCGGCATTCCCTTTACAGCCAAGCATCGCCAGAGTACCTCTCGGTCGACAGAATCGAATGCTGCCTTTAGGTCAAGAAATATAATGATTGTTGGACGCCGGTAGGAATGCCTATGTTCTAGAATCTGTCGGAGGGTGAAGATATGATCAAAACACCCTCTTCCCGGCCTAAAATCTGCCTGGTTTTCTCGTGTTTGTGCCTCCCGAGCACCATTTAGTCTACGCAATATTATTGAGCCTAGGACTTTAGATACTATATTAGTCAAGCTAATCCCTCTGTGATTATCACGAGAGGACTTGTCTCCCTTCTTGTATAACGGGATGATTAGTGACTTACACCAACCCGATGGGACTTCCTCTGATTCCCAGACGCTGCCTAGAACCTCCGTTAACGCAGACAGTAAACTGTCTCCACCGTACTTTTAAATACCTCTGGAGTCATTCCATCAGGTTCCGCCGCTTTGCCTTGCTTCAGATTAGTGACAGCTTTAGTAACCTCAGTTAAGGATGGAGGACCTGTGTCTACCTCCCATTCAGGGAGGTGTTGGATGTTCGGCAGGTTAAGTGTGGCTGTGGGCCAATTAAACTGCTCCTCATAGTGTTCTTTCCAGCGCTCCAGACGTCTCTCCTGGGAGCTAATTATGGTGCCATTTTTCTCGGAGATTGTTTCGCTTATCATTTACCTTTTACCACCTGTTTCTCTGATAAGCCTGAATAGTTGTCTGGTGTTGCCTAGACCCCTCTGGATTTTAATGCTTCTCTAAATGATATCCATTTGTGAAAACAAAGTTTGCATGACAGTTCGTCATCATCATTTTATAGAGTTTTAGTTTTATTCTCAATGTTTTGAATTTCGTTTTTAAAACTTTTCATAAATGCGCGGCAATGTTTTCTATGAGGTTCCTAATTAGAGCTCCAACTAATTTTCTTCTTGATAAATTAAGGGGTGTGGCACCGTTTATACACGCTATACTTTAAGTAGACAGTCGACAAAACAAGTCTTCAATTCATGAAAACTGAATAAGAATAAGACGTAACATTGTAACGATAGAAGACTAAGACTCGGTAAAGGAATGTTAATTTGCAGTTTGTTATCTCTGTATAGCTAAATTATGTACAGCTTGTCTTCAACGCAGATCTTCCGTGTTGTGCTACTTCTTGCTTTTTTTTCATATTGTGTTTCTTTATGTTCCTTTCACATTTCCCATGCATCTCCATTACGATGAATCATTTGCTTTTTCTAACGTCAAATCTATCTCCCTGTTGCATTTGTTTTCATACCGATGAACGTCGCTATGTACTACTGATAAATCGTATCAGTAACACACGCCACAGCATGATATGTATATGTTAAAACATACTTCACGGAGCATTTTTTAAAACTCACTACCTGACACAATGAAAATGATATACTAGCATGCTTTATTAGAAGTTAATTGGTGGGTGGTGACTAACAGTAGAATCCAGAATATGTGTATTTCGTCCTTTTTGGGACTCGCTAGTCAGCTGGATGTACCTGCATTCCCCAGTCAGTCAGTGATGATGTTCCCACCACTGAGGCTCGAACCCAGTGCCCATAGTTTCAAACACCAAGGGTCATCTACTAGACCACTTGGGCCACGAGAACCACCTCTTGTGCAACGGATCATTTTAATCATTTAAATGAATTTTAGATTTTCCCGTCGATTGATTGGACCGAAGTGCTCGGTGTCAGTTATTAGATATTATTTCCTTACCCTTTCAAATCAAGTTTCCTAATCACTGCTTTCACTATTTAAAGAAACTATTTTCGTTTATTATACAGCTTGATGTGTAAACCTTGTAACCTTTAATGCTTCTTAGAGTTCTAGTGAGACATTGTAACCGGTGGGATCTACCAAGTCGAACGTGTGGAAAGATAATTGTCATTATATTACCAATTAACAAAATTCAGAATTCATGGAGCACTGGATTCTCAGCCAATGCCTGAATAGTAATCATCTCCCCCCCCTCCGTAAACTGTGCATCCTCAAATCGATCTGTAATGGTGTCACGTGTGCGTACTGGTGAAGAGTCCTGGACCATGGCGAAATCTCTCTTCATTGCTTCGAAACCTACCTTGATATATCTAGTGTTTTTGTAACATGAAACGTACTTATTAGCCGGACAGAACTCTTGTTCTGTGTTCGGGGAATTATAAACTCTAAGTCGTATACGGCGTCTACTTGATATTGAGGGAGGCGGGAATATTTTAAACGAAAAAATTAACTGTAATCCCGTGAAGTGATTACTGCCAAAACAATTCCTATTTAAATATACGAATTTTTTAAAGGGGTTTTCATATTCAGATGTGAATATCAATCGCCAGTTCAATGATATCTTGAAGCTTCGGTGTGACTAGTAGAGTCCACTGAACACATTGGTGAGGGCGGTGTTATATCACGGGGTTGAAAAAAACACACTAGAATTTACGGAACACTGAACTGCAACCTAATTGGCTGCTGAATGGTCAGTAGGCTTGAACTCATATCAACTGAAGATATCCAGGGTTTGATCCCTGGCGCGGGGGGGGGGGTCGTAATGTTGAAGAGATCCAGAATAGAACGAAACGGTTGTTCAATGCTCTAAGTGATGTGCTGGCTTATGACGATCTTTCCACTCTCCTAGTCACGTAACACAGCATGTACACTAACTAACTGACTTTCACTACAACCAATATTAAAGAAAAGATTTACCATTCAGAAGAAGAGATTTTATTTGTATATTTGATATATAAATATATATGTATAAATATAAGATATATATATGTATATATTCATGTATTATGCTAAGTTCAATTCAAATACGACTAGAAGCGTGTTGACCAAAGGGAACAACAGGATTACAAGAGATAGATAGATATTCATGAAGAGTATTTCAGCTATAAATGCACAAATAATATTGCGTCACAGTGTGTGTGTATGTGTGTCAAATGGGAATGGAAGGAATGTTTCAGAGAAGAAAATTATTAAATGCTTAAAATCACAGCTTTCACAAAAACAAAAACAAAAAAAGATTAACAGCTAATTTGGATCATAGGATCATACACAGTATAAGCTCATAACCTAGTCGTCTCGATCCTAGAAACTGATGTATGTATATGTATCGCTATATGTATATGCGCAGATCTCATAATTAAAATATCATGATAAGACAAAAAGTTAGAAGGATAGAAACTAATAATATAAAATAATAATAATAGTGATCAAGGTAATAGTATTAATAAAATAACCATAATAATAACAATAATAATAAATGGAATGATGTGGGACGACACCGAAAACGACGACGTTGACAACAACAACAACAACAAAAACAGAAGGGATACAATGAAAATGCGGCATTCCGGTTTTCAAACTACAATAAGATGACATCAGAGGATAGATAGATAGATAGATGCATAGTACCACACTTTTATTTCTTTTCATCACATATTTTGTTTTGTGTCTACACAGTATTGCAGATTTCTTTGTCCTAATACGTCGGTCCGTAATATTGACCAGCTCCGGCACCCATAGGTGGTTGTTGAATATTTCCACCATACGGTTGCTGTTGTTGCTGGTGCTGCTGACTCATTGGATCATTCATACCAGGATATGTTTGACCTGGAACACCAGCATTCGGATCCATAGTTGAACCAGGTCCGCCTAATTCATCTTCAGCGTTCAGATTAACTTGCCCGAGTCGAAATCGTTGCAATGCAAAGAATGTAATCCCACCCTTGATACATAATAGAAAAAAAATATATATATACATATATATAACCACTGAAATGAATTGTATCACAAAGGTAGTTAATCGATCTGTAGCGGTCAATAATTCCCCCAAAATCATTAGCCTAAAGGCATTCTTCACTCAACCTTGGATGGTGACCTTCACCGTTTAAGTCGACTCATTGAACTGTAGGTTCGTGGTGAAGCATCAACACTACTACTGGCGCGCTGTCGTGTTACGTTCGGCCATTGGTACACGACCCTTCTACTACGATTTTGATCCCGAAATATATCGCGTATTTTGAAGGATCAATTTGGTGTTTTAATTTGTCTTTGGTCTACTCAGAACAAATACTATAAGAGTTGGAGGATAAAAACATGTGTTGGTATACACAGAATACTTTGGCGTAAAAATCAACATCCCTTCTTCTCCTAAACAATCAACACTATGCGAGACAGAAAGACATTATGAAAATGTACTTGCATGGAGGATTTCATCATGAGCTGACATCAATTAGAGAACCACTGGAAAACCTGGGAGTACTAGACAGCTGTTCCGACCTAGTTTGGGACTCTTCATCAGCACGCACCCACCGAGATTCGAACCCAGAGCCTTCTGGTTACAAGGCCGGTGGGTGTGTACTGATGAAGAGTCCCAAACTAGGACGAAACAGCTGACCAGTACTCCCAGGTTTTCCAGTGGTTCTCTAACTGATGTCAGCTCATGATGAAATCCTCCATGCAATCAAACAAAATCCCTACAAAACCAATACTTGAAAAATGTACTTTTAGCAAATGATTTATGCTGGCCTAGGTTTCGTGCACGCACGTTGGCACGCACCAGTCAGTCAGCAAGGCGTAGCGTATCTGAAAGACTTAGAGGAACTCATTCATGTCTTTGATGAGATTTTAAACTCGTGTCACCCAGTGAGTGCTGCACAGTCAGGGACGTTATCGCTGAACCATTCTGGATCGCGATATACCTGCTGTACAACTGTATTTGGATACTTTGATTCGACAGTAGTTAGCAGCACCTGATATCACGTGTGTCTCTAGTCCTTTATTCGATGCAGACTGTATTTTATCAGTGAAGTTTTTGCAATGTAGCCACGATTGTTAGTGGCTTGACATCACAGTGCACTTTGAATTGTTGTTGTTAGATGGTTGATGGCATTTGGCAGGAATCCTTGAACCTAGGTTTGATTGGATACTAGGTTGGTAACTAGTATTAAACTTGATTGATAGAATTCATTCTGTATCAAACAAAGGACTAGACACATGATACTAGTTACTGACTAGTGTGTTTAATCAAAATAAGTTATACATCTTATGGGCACACCAAATGTGTAAGATGTAGAACTCTGTTGGTTAACTAATCTGTCTCATCATCTATGATTTCACGTCTGAACTATTCATCTCTTTCATGGTGATTCCACCGATTATTATTATTTTTTAATTCCTTCACGTTTCCAGTGGAACATAGGGTTTCAACCTGGAGGCTTGAAGTTTCGGTAGCAGTGGTGTTTATTTTTACAGGATGGGGTTGCTAGCCTCATGCCCAACCTTTCGTCTTTACCAGCTTTATTTCTGGCTTGGCGAGGTAAAGGAGGAGTGTGTCCATGGCCGGTTATCAAACTTCGGACCATGTGCATGGTCAGTGAGCGTCTTAACCGCTGTGCCACCGACGCACAAGTTTAATGTGTAATTTTAACATGTCTCTTTGAGGTTGTATGATGGTGTTGATATTGTGCTGTTTTAAAAGTGTGATTTTCTTTGTTCTGTCTTCGACATAGAACTTTGCACATATGTGCGGCAGTTCAAGTCGCCACACTCCCTCCTTGTAGCACACAAAGCAAGAGAAGAAAGCAAAAGAAATGCATAATAGAGACAGTAAACACAGGTGTGAGACAAAGGAATAGTCATAACGAAGAACAAAACAGTTTCATTGGAAATCATAAGTCACAAGGAGTGGATGCATCTGCGCCATTGAGAACGATTTTGATCCATATCACCAATTGTTTCCAACCATTGGTTTTTACCGTCCCGAGGACGTGATTTTCTTTGAGTGAGTAAAGGTTATTCTGACCTTGGACAGTTCGCCGGAAGTATTGTTGTGTGATTCTTACGGACAGAGTTCTTGCTCCCAAGTTGTGTGGGAATATTCTACTTGATTCCAAGTGCTCGTTGCGTAATTAGACTGGACTGTATTAACTGCCTAACGCCACTGTAGAGGTAATCTTGAGTTTTTGATATTATCATTGTTTAATAAAACCGCGAAATTATTCTAGAATAATCGCCTTTTTTCCTATCTTTGGAGCTTTTCATGATCGCACCTGTCTCAAGGAAGCTTACCAGCTATACAGTAGAATGCAGAGATCAGTTTCTTGTGTTCAGATCATAATGAGTCAGTTTCGGACGCTAGAGTAAAAGATTTATTATGATGTATAGTGGCGTTTGCAACAATACGTCATGGGTTCAATTCCCCAGTGAGAACACCATACCTCAAAGGCGATGCCGGTAAAACATCCTGCTGACAAGTCACAAAAGTGGGACGAAACACACCTCTTGGATTAAACTGCTAGCAACTACCAATCGAGCCGAAAATAAGAAACCTATTTTTTGACAAACTTTAAAATACTAGATTTGTCGATAAAAAATATGAAAAATAAAAATACAGCTTACCCAAATTGCAATTGACAGAAAAGCAAAACCGATAGCTGAACGAGCATTACTCTCTTGCCATCCTTCAACTTTATGTTGACTCAACCATTCATCAGATGTATTTGTCCATTTATTTGCAAGTAGACAAAAACTAACAAACCATAGGAATGTCCATAAACCTAAATGTTTTTAAAAAGTATAAAGGTGAAATCCAATGCAATAACACACACAGTTGAACGTTTAACTAGCCTATATAGATAAATGAAACCAATCGATCAAGTTTGATAAAACTATAGTATAAGCAAATAACTATAAGGGATGTCCATTGCAAAAGAGGTAGCCCTTGCAGCTGAATAGCTACAAGAGCTTAATGCCTCAGTGTTTGAAATGTTTAGCGTTTAGTTTTACTCTCATCTGGAACAATGTAACTGCTGACCCGGCCCTAGACAGGATGAAATGCCCTAGCAATCACAAAAACTGTTAATGAATTCGAGCCTAGCCCAAATTTGAAGACTAACAACAAGCATCATTTCGAATAAAGCAAAAACAACGGCTTGTGCAGAATAAGATGGTACCGACGTTTATTTCGTTGATTTTTCATCAGCTGCGTGCAGCAGTTCTGTAGAGAAATTCGAGGGAGAATTTCGAATTCTCGAAAAAGGTGTTGAAAAACAGCAGTTAACCTGAGAAATTTATCGACAAGTATAGAAGATGTGAATGTCCAACTGACAAATAAATCAAAGTGGCACAGTGGTTAGGACTCTCGCCGACCATGCACATGGTCCGGGATTCGATCCCCTGCCGATGCACACCTGATATCTATGGTCGGCCTGAAAATTTGAACTACCGATATCACATGCTGAAAATTCCATACCTGTACCAGAAACATACGGTGTGGAATCAAGCTGTAATCAAAAAAATAAAATAAAAATGAAGCCTATCTTCATTCAACCAGATTTTAAAAGTAATAATATTGCAGGAATAGTTGACAGAATGTTGAAAACCACACTAGCCAGAACCTATCCTCCAGTTAAGTTGGTTCTCGTTTATCGGACAACATGGTCATTGATGCAATCAAAAGTCGACAGATACCCTTCTCATGTTCACTCTAGCAGTGTATACACATTTACGTGAATCTACGGCTGCAGTTACATCGGGAGAACCGTATGAAAGACACACTTCCGATTTTCTGAATACGCACCAAAAAACGTCTGTCTCAAGGACGCGGGGGGGGAGGAAATACGCCTTCAATAGTGCAACTGCCAGGCATCTAGTCAATACGAGTCATGGGGTGGACATCATGAATCCTTTTAAACTTATTAATTATTATATTATTATTGTTTCCTTTAATTCCTAGAGGAACATAGGAACATTGTGTTCGGTTCTCTGCTAGAGTTTTCACCTGGCTCCCAGTCTGCCCGCATGCTATCGTCTTCTCTTCACATGACCTCCTCCAAGTCACCCTTGCAGTGACGACCAACTCGCCGCTTCCCTTTCGGGTTCCACTAGAGCAATGGCTTGTCTAGTGATGTCACTTGATGGTTTGTTTTCTCAGAGTATGGTCAATCCATCTCCATTTCTTCCTGCTTATTTGTTTCACAATCGGTTCCTGGTTGGTTCACTCCCAGAAATCTCTGTTGCTGATCTTTTGTGGCCGGCCATCTGATTTTGAGTATTGAGCGTAGACAACAGTTAATGAAGGTCTGTAGTTTGTTTGAGATGTTCATTATGACGCGCTAAGTCTCTGATCCGTATCTTAGCACTGACTTCACATTGGAGTTGAAAATCCGGCTCTTATTTTTGATGCTGAGAAGTGCTGTTGACCTCCACACAGACTTGAGAGTAGTGAAAGCTTGTCGTGCTTTCCCGATTCTTGCCTTGATATCCTCGTCAGCTCCGTGCACCTGTAGTTGAAACGATGCTTCTCAGGTAGGTAAACTTATTAATAGGCAAAATAATTCAATTCTCATGACGTTTTCCATAGCTGTTGCCATCAAGTGCTTGAAACCGGATTTCTGTGTTCAGAAAGAAGCAGTTATCAGTCTTTCCTTGCCTTGGTAATTGGATGTCTTTACTCTCTCTATTATCTAATTAAGTAATCTTTGGTTTTAACCTCTCCTCCTTTTAATATAGTGTAAATTCGCTTGTATCTTGTTAGTATGACTTGAGTTGAATTCATTCTTACCCAGCTGATTAGTTTCTTATCATAAAGTCATCCACCTATTGTCTTTATTGCGCAACTCCTTTGCCATTGTATACAAACATTTACTTTTTTGTTTAAACCTGAACTTTCTTTGTGTAAGCCATACAAGTGTGATTTCTGAGCGCTGTCTGTATTAAGTTTACAGTCTCCTGTCAACTGACATGATGTTACATCTGCAAACATTTTAAGATTGTTCTGTAAATAAAGTTAATAATTTCTTTAGACTGCAGGCAGATGATGGAATAAACGATGGTACCATCTAATTCTACTGGTCAACAACAAATGTGGCTCGGGGTTCGAACCCCGGCTAGCGCACTCCTAAACCTCTCTAAACCGGTAGTAAGGTCGATAAAGAGGGAGACTAGTAACCCCACTCCGTAAAAATAAAACCACTGCAGCCGAGACTTCAAAGCTCCAGCTTGAAGCTCTATGTTCCACCAGGAGTTTAAAGGAATAAAATAAAATATTATTACTATTTTCTTTAGTTCCTAGAGGAACATAGGGCTTTAGCCGCACGTCTCCATTGCATTCGGTTCTCCGTCAACGTTTTCACCTGGCTCCACGTCTGACCACATGCTTTCATCTCCTCTTCACATGACCTCCTCCATGTCACTCTAGCACTGACGACCAACTCGCTGCTCCCCATTCGGGTTCCATTCGAGCGATGACCTGGCGTGTGATGTCACTTGGTGGTTTGTTTTCTCAGAGAATGGCCAATCCATCTCCATTTCTTCCTGCATATTTGTTGCACAATTGGTTACTGCTGGGTTGGTTGGCTCGCAGAGATCCCTGTTGCTGATCTTTTCTGGCCATCTGATCTTGAGTAGTAGTGGGCGAAGACAGTTGTTGATGAAGGTCTGTAGTTTGTTTGAAGTGCTCTTCGTGACTCGGCACCAAGTCTCTGATCCACATAATAAGTAGCACTGAATTCAAATTGGAATTCAAAATTCGGACCTTATTTTTGATGCTGAGAAGTGCTGTTGATCTCCACACAAACTTGAAAGTAATGAGAGCTTGTCTTGCTTAACCGATCCTCGCTGCTTTGATATCCCCATTAGTTCCATCCGCCTGTAGTCGAAACGATGCTTCCCAGGTAGATAAGTGGGAAGGTAAAGGAGGCTGCTTCTTTCAGATTTCTCCCATTTATGCTGATTGTTTTCTGTTGTTGTTGCTGCTGCAGTTAGTCAGAAATCTTCATCACCTCTGTTTTCTCTGTATGTTCACCATAATTCCTATCTTTCATGCTTCTTCTATCGCCAACTTGTTGCTTTTCACTTGCATATCTTCCAGTTTGTGAGAAATCAGACACACATATATCATCGGTGAAATTCAGATCCTGTAAGTTTTTTTTGCACTCGATTGGCATTTATTAGAGCGCTTAAAGTTTGACTTGACCAATTTTTTTTTCGTAAAGCAACAACAATAAACCTTGTACCCCCCAAAAGAACTACAAGAAGTTACTTTACGGAGCCGCTGACCACTGCTCCTGAATGAGTTCAACAAAATCAGTTAGAAGTAGACATAAACACAATTAGAATCAATGAAAAGATTTTCAAAAGAATCTAGGTTTGCCTTTTTTATAAGTAGCCCTGTCAACTAGGTAGCTCAGTGAATGAACCAGTCCCACAACATCACATAAAACATTAGTGACTATTTGTTTTTATTGCATGGAGGATTTCATCATGAGCTGACATCAGTTAGAGAACCACTGGAAAACCTGGGAGTACTGGTCAGCTGTTTCGTCCTAGTTTGGGACTCTTCATCAGTACACACCAAACGGGATTCGGACCCAGGACCTTCTGGTTACAAGGCGAGCTCGTAGACCATTGAGCCACTGAGACCCGATCTAATGGCCAGCCCATGAATTCTAACTTCTGCCAGTTCACGAACGAATAATAACAAGTTCCACAGAATCTATGCAAATGACTTTATTACTTCAAATAAAAGTAATTAAGCATCAGAAATTACAACAACAACAACAAAAGAAAAACGACCATCTCTTTCAAGCAGTTATGACTTACCTGAGAAGGCCAGATCACCAATTATCACAATTTTTCGTCTTTTAAGATTTGAAATTGAATTGAACATGAAATCACTTGCAAGAAAAACAATTGATCCAAGGAAAGCGAAAACACCAACAGCAACAGGGAAACTACAAGCACTTGATGTAGCCCCAAAAATACAAACATCTTGATGAGTATGACATCCAGACGAAATTGACCCGAAAACTATTATTGAGCTTAGCTGAAAAAAAAAGTACAAATGAGAACAAAAACGCCTTTGAGTAATATGTGTATCTTCTTGATGAAAGAATGATCCGAATATAATGCAAAAATCAATATATACGCATGTATAAGCTTGAAAGCCTTTGATAAGCTGAACAATAGGCGCAGCAACCAACTAATAAGATTATTCAATTATTAGTCTGTAGGGATTTGATTGATTGGTTACAGGATTTTTTCATGAGCTGATATAGGTTAGAGAACCATTGGGAAACCTGTAAGTACTGGATAGATATTTCGTCCTATTTTGGGACTCTTCATCAGTACGCACCCATTACAGAGGGCTCAAATCCAGGACCTTCTGGTTACAAGGCGAGCTAGTTTGTACGCCATAAAGCCACTGGGACCCGATCCAGTGGCCAGCCAATGAATTCCAACTTCTGCGAATTCACGATATAGCGCGTTATGTCATGATTAAAAGAAGAAACAAAAATAAAAGTGTGCGATTAATAGTTCCTCAAATTTAAGTATATGTCTGAGAGTAGTGTAAAGCTCAAAGGTCAAGGTGACCAACTCTTCCAACCAATACGTCACAGGTTCGAATTCCGCTAAACTTATCCAGGTAGTATCGTTAGATCATAAACAACAGCTGAAGCTTATAGGCGTGAGTATTTAGGAATTCTTTGATTTTTTTAACATCGACTGTAGCTCATTGACAACTGTATGGAAATGATGAATGTACTTGCTGAATAACATTTCATTTCACATTATGTGTTTTACTTTATAAATACCAAGCAAAAGCCAGAAAAATACTGCTTCACCTAAATTACGAGACAAAAGCAGTATTGATACCCATAAGAAATATTTGTGAGAAAGGCGGACAGCTCATAAACATGAATTTCTTCATAGTTTTATAATAACCTTTGTTAGCCTTTTAAGGACTTCAGTTTTACTCTTTGTAAGAAGTAACTAAAGACATTAGTGGCTAGTCTTTGATCCTAGAGGTATGGTAAATTAATTAGGAAAAGATATCCATAAAACTAATGTATTTATATTCAAGTATTGGTGTGTAGGGATTTGGTTGATTGGTTACAGGATTTCATCAATGAGATGCTCACTGGAGACTGGCCCTATTCAGGTAGGCAGTTACCTGGGGTTCTTGTGGGAAGTCGTGACCAGTAGGTGCAGCAGGTCGGGTGTGAGGACAAATACTCGCCGAAGACATTGGCTAGGGGTCGCGCTATATCGTGAATTGGCAGAAGTTAGAATTCATGAACTAGCCATTGGATCGAGTCCCAGTGGCTTAATGGTATACGAGCTAGCTCGCCTTGTAACCAGAAGGTCCTGGGTCCGAACTCCGGTGGGTGCATACTGATGAAGAGTCTCAAACTTGGGCAAAACAGCTTTTCAGTACTCCCAGGTTTTACAATGGTTCTCTAACTGATGTCAGCTCATGATGAAATCCTGTAACTAATGTATTTATACAAAATACCAATCTGATGGTAACCGAAAAAGTTAGAAGATACCTAAGAGCAATCCATTAGTTTTGTTTCGACTACAGGTGGTACCAATGAAGATATCAAAACCGGGTTGGTAAAAGCAAGACAGTCCTCATTACTGTGAAACCGGTGTGAAAAATTTGCTGCACTATGCAGCATAAGCAACAAGATCTGGATATTCAGCATTAAGGTCAAGTCAGTCAGCTCTTCTATAGGCTTAACAGACTTAATGAGTCACGATAAGCATTTCCAACGGACTACTACTGCAGACTTCCATCAACGACTATCTTCGCTCCATAGTGAAGATCAGATAGCGAACCAGAAACGATAAGCAAGAAGAAACCAACTAAGGACCTATTGCCAAATAGATATGAGAAGGAAGTGGAGATGGATTTGATATAACTCTGACGAACTGTGCTTCCGTCCAGCAGTGACATGGAGGAGATCGTATGAGTGCGAAATGAAAGTTCATGTGAAATCTTGGAGCCACCTGAAAAGACTGCAAAGAACGGGATGAAATGGGAATGTGATTCTGGCGCCCTATATTCTTTCTATACGGAACCCAGGGGAGTAATAATAATAGTAATAAACCATTAGTTTTCTTATTTCGACATTAGGCCAAGCAGTTGAAAAATGCAGTTTAATGAAAACGTCAGCAGACAATCAGTAGGAAGGTATGCTTGTTAGTTTGCAATAAAATATGTGTAATATGTAACGTCATCTAGAGAAAAGTCTTTATTGACTATTCAACAGAAGATCTGGATTTCATTGTTATTTCTTTCCTTAATAGTTATAAAGTATTATATTACGAAGTGTTTTATAATAAGAATAGGTATGCATACGGTGGTAAGCAAAGGTGATTTGTGGATACACTGAGTAGTTCTGTGTGAGTACACTTCAAACCTTTAATTTAAGCCTAATTTTTTCGCTGACTGTTCTTACTAAACCCTGTAATTACTGTTATAATTATGGGCAGGGGATAATGAGCAAGAATTATAACTACTGAAAAAGTCCACTGTTCTAACGACTAGTTATTATATGACAAACATTCCTCTCAGGTTAGACCAGAGATTGATATCAGTTAGAGAACCATTGAAAACTTAACCTGAGGCAAATACAATCCCTGTAAACTGATTATTGAAAATTAATCTGATACACATTAGTGACTCTGGCTAAAGGACGAAGTTAACTGGAGTTAGTTCTAGTGAGAAGTTGTGACCAGTGGGTTGCATCCAGTAGGGAGTGAGGATGGAGTTCCCGCCGATGACATTGGTTGGTGCTTATCGCGCTAAAATCACGAATCGTAACAAGTTAGAATTCGCGTACTGGTCATTGAATCGGGTCGCAGTGGCTACGAGCTTCAGTGTAACTAGAAGACCTTGAGTTCGAACCTTAACGGATGCGTACCGCTGATGAGTCTCAAACTAGGGCAAAACAGCTGTCCGGTACTCCCTGGTTGTTTTCAATGGTTCTCTAACTGATATCAGTCCATGGTCTAACCTGAAACGAGTACAATCCCTACAAACTTATTCTTGAAAAACATTCTTTTGTTTGAAGGGAGAATATGTTAAAATCAGACGCGGCTTTAATGAGAACAGAATCATAATGATATACCGCCAAAATGATTGGACACTAGTACCTAGTGCGACGTGTCTAGTCCTTTCTTTGATGCAGACTGAATCCTATCAGTCAGGTTTGCAATGTGACCAATGTGTTGGTGAGCTACTTAGAATGGTGGCCACGTTGCGAACCTGACTGATAGAATTCAGTCTGCACCAAAGAAAGGACTAGACACGTCGCGCTAGTTACTAGTGTCCAATCAAAATACCCACTACAGTCCTACAGAAGGTCTATCGCAAGCCCAAATAGCTCAGCGGTAACGTCCCTGACTGCAGCGCTGGGTGACGCGGGTTCGAATCTCAGAAGGGATATGAGTTCCTTCAAGGTGGCATATACGCCTTGCTGACGAGCGCCAACTAACACGAAACCTATGTCCAAGGCTTCGTGTCCGCCGATTGCCTCCAACTATCTAATACCGTCATTATGTCTGTCGCATAACATTCGACAATATGTACAAATTTATTGTTCAAGTCGATTACTGTTCACTACAATCTCATCCATTATAATCACTCTCACTTCTAACAAGGCAATCATATAGAAGTAATGAGTATGTTATTGACCACAAACTGTTAGAAATATGTCTTTCAAATAGATAAACAAAAGAAGTCTTCTTTTTTATAGAAGTATTTATAGACGATGAACTGAAACGACATTTTCAAAGTAGGACTTTGCACAAAAATGCAGCAGCCACACTTCATGAAAGTACAGAGAATCGAAATATGCTGAAGTAATAATAATCGTATGAAGAATAGTGAGGATTTAGAAGAACATAAAGAGTGAGTAAATATGCTCTATTGGGAAGGATTTTGAGTCAACTCATCCCCAGTCATTGTTTCCAAGCGTCTTGAAGACACCTTAGTCAGACATACTAAATGCCTTTATGCGGTTTAGATAAACAGCCGAAGACTTCATGGATTGATGTCACATTCTCATCTGACTAAAGGCATTACTTACACTCGGTAAGAGTGAGACAAATATCAAATTGTTAGGATAGGAGGATGAGTCAAAATTACAACTGTTTTGTATTTATTATTATTATTCCCTTGGATTCCGAGTGGAACATAGAGCTTCAACAACACATCTCCACTTTGTTCTATTTTCTGCTGTCCTCTTCAGCTGGCTGACCCCACGATTTCCTATAATCTCTCATCTCCTCCTCATCACCAAACGATCTCCTCCAGGTCACCCTAATAGTGACGACTCATTCGTCGCTCCCCTTTCGGAGTCCACTCGAGTGACGGCCTGGATTACACGTGATGTCGTTCGACAGCCTCCTCAACACATGCCCGATCCATTTACATTTTCTCCTACATATTTGTTGAACGATCGGTTCTTCACCATATACTGAAGTATGTAGCAAAAACAAGTAAAATAACATTGTGAATACATGCACCAGACAAAATATCTTCTTAGCGCAAATTTTCAGTCAGCACCTTTAAGGCAGTATCATGTTTTTTAACATAGACTTTAAGTTAAGAAGTGGAATACCCAGCATTTATTGTTTTAACATATTCAGTATTTAACACTGGAATAAGTATACGTTTGGTTTGCTTAGTCTACATTGTGATGTAGAGGAAAGTGGCCTACTTTGCCTAAACTATTTAGTGAAGGCAAAGCAGACTGGATGAAGTAACTTGCCAGTAACTCATGCAAAAATTGCTTTAGATTTTACCTCTAACTAGATCTTGTCAATACATTAGTGGTGAATTTGGTGAGATGCCTACTAGTTATTTTACGATTATGTGCTCGTTAAATCCACCAGTTTCGTAATTGCATACCGCGACGACAGTTTGCTAGTGAAGTTATACAAATAGCTAGACTATATTGTGACAACAAGTCAGTTAATAATTGAGAAAGCTATCGATTGTTTTACAGATTTCTACTGATTACAGAAATGCTTTCTGTAGGCACACACACAACTTCGCAAACTTTTTAGTCACCAAACGACGAAGCACATATCGGTGGCACAACGGTAGAACGCTCGCCAACCATGGCTCACGTGGTTCGGGGTTCAATCCTCGGCCACCGACGCACTCCTTTACCTCGCTAAGCCGGTAATGGGACTGGTAAAGAGGCAAGGTTGAACATGAGACTAGCAACCCCATCCCGCAGAGTGGCCTCTTTACCTAGATCAGTAGTAACAGCAAATCAGATCCCTGCACAGATATATATTGCAAGGATTAACATAAGCAACACGAGCCTTCAATCCTTGTTATCTGCATCTGTACGTATGGTTTATTGACGCTCAAAGCTTCACGTACGAATTCTTCAATTTCCCATTTAAGGTTTTTTCGCCTTACGCGAACGGATCTTTAAAGCTAGCAAATAACCTGCATATATGATTATACACGGATAATACTAGACGTTGAAATTAAAAAATTAAAACTAGTCGATGGCTGGAAGTAATCTTTATTGTGCAGTTACGGTCAGTGGTTTTAAAAACATGCTTTTAAGCCTAATGAAGATGGTATTACACCGAAACGACAATCTGCAGGTATACGGATTAATCTCACCGGAAAAAGGACGCATTATAAACATTTTAATCAAAAGACTGACTTACTACAGCAACAAGTCTTAGTATAACAACTGGTTTCCTTAAGAATTCTAATATGCTGCTGGTTGTTCCAGACTTTGCAGCAGAGAGTAAATCAGCCGGATTCATTCTTAAAATCAAACCATACAAAACACCGCACCAAACTTGGAACGAGAGTACAAATATGGCTAGCACATTATAACAAAATTAGTGTTTCGCCAAAGAATTCATTAAATCCCAAGGAAATCACTTCAACGAAATTCTATATAGCCCAAGCGTTTTTATACCACGGATATGTACACAAATAGTATATGTTTGCCAAACCAAATCGGCCATAATATTTAATAAACTACACAAGACCTCCTCTGAGTTCCGAGTGGAACAAGGGCTTTACTGTCTTCCCTGGTATTTTTGTCGATAGCTCCACGATCGGTCATGGGCCTTTGTTTCCCCCTCTCATCATCTCATCCGTGCTTCTTCCGGACATCGAATTCACAGCTCCCAATCCCTTTCCACACCGAAGTTTGCCGCTTGATGTGACTCAATGGCCTCCTCATCATATGTCTAATCCATCTCCTGTTCATTCCGCATATTTTTGGACTGTAAGCTCTCGGTTTGTTTTTTTTTCAGAGTTTTTATGTCCATTCAGTCTAGCTGGTTATCTGACTTTCAGTATCGAGAGAAGGCAGTTGTGATAATTACGCGGTAACCTGGAAATATTTTTGTTGGTGGGCCAATTCTCTGAACCATATAAAGAACATAGTTCTATTGGAAGTGATAGCGAAACTTTTCATGTCCCCAATAGTTCTGCCCTAATTTGGTCCTCAAGTTCCAAAATTATAAGCATATTTTAGACGAAGGAACGTAATCTTTGTTATCAGTTTCCTTCGTCGTATTTAACAGTTTTAGGGTGAATTGGCGAGATTAGTGTGGTAGTGCATGGTCAAATGGTTTCCTCATGATTATCTGAGCTTTGAAGAACAGTACATTAGCTGAGGGATTTCTTCGAAAGAAAAGGCATACGACTTCCATCCAGTTAGTGTTCCATTTTCGGTATGTTTGGAATAAATGACTGAAGCCATTTCAATTGTGTATTTGTGTATGTTACTTGAATTGTTGGTTACCATATATCATCTAGTGTCTTTAACTGCATCCCAAAAGCAAACAGCATTTATCCTATTCTTCCGTAATTTTGCATGTGTCTAATGCTACAACAAGGAAAGAAAGCTTCATGTTTCGTTCGATCATGAACCCTTTTTACAGGTTGAATGTCTGGAGCCAGTGGCACATTCATCCAACCTAACTAGACCTTCCCAGAGTCTTCCTGGATTCTTGATATTTCTATCTCTTTATATACCCTTACACGGATGGCGTAAAACAGAAACGATGGTTAATTTGCCAAATAAAACGTAGATGATATTAATATATCGTCATGATTAAATGAGTGATTGACGTACTACATGAGATAGTGGTAACTTCCATGGAAAAGATGTCACTGGCACGACCTCTTTTTCCAATATTTTCAGGAAAATGACTGAAGAACTTATTAGTTTAGGCCTACAAAGGAGTAAAAATACACAATATTGTAGATATTTTTTGGTATTTATCCCCGAAATCAGAGACACAAATCTAACCGGAAGAGTAAACACACGGGTGTATTATTAAATTCTGTATCCTTGTTTTGTGCGAATGCAATCATTGCTTCGTCAGATTCAGCCGACAATAATCCCATTTCGAATGATGACGTAGTATCTGCAGGCATTGTCCATAAAAACTACTCAGTCTGTCACAAAGATATTTCCTTTTAATCCTTGTAAGAATCTGTCTCAAAACTCAAGAGTCCTGGACGCAGCAGTAATTCACTACAACCCGCTGTCCAATACGTAGACGTACTGGAGGTTTTGGACAAGATGGAACCGCATTTAGCTAAAACGTATGCTACGCTGTTGTGAAATAATCCAAAGGCAAAATGAGATCCGTGTCTAAGAAAATCTTGGTAATAAACACCCTCATATCATTCAGTTTAAGAGAAAACAATGACTGTTCTTTAGGATGGTAGCGTTTCATAGTAATTTTGTGGGAGGCTTCAGAAATATTGGTGCTCTCCTGTACATGTTGGTAATTGAGTTAAAGTCTAGTCGGTTAGGAGATTGATGAAAGATATCCAACGATTGCGGCAGAATGTTCAATAATAATGTAGATAAATAGAAACTTTGTTTACTCATTTGACGGTCCCACATAGAAACTAAACATAAGTGGCACTCAAAGAGATGAATGAAAACGGAGAACTCTTCGTTGACTTCTATGCCTTCAGTGAACTGGTGATTGGTGGCAGCGTATACAGGCACAAGGATATCCACAGGGCTACATGGGTGTCACCAGACGGGCGAACCAAACATCAATTTAGCTTCATCTAATTAGTGCTCAAGGGAGTGGAGACGCAGCTTACTGGACGCAAAATTAAGAAGAGGAGCAGGTGTCGGCTCAGCCCACTATTTCATGCAAGGAACACTCAAAATCAACTTAAAAACCTTAAAGGAAACAGGAGCTGCAGATAGACCACAAGCCAAGTATAATACTCAAAAACTGAAGGATCAGGCCACAAAGGACATTTTCACTGCAAACATAAGGAAAAAGGTGGAGACACAATTTAACACTAGCGAAGAGACCAGCGTTTTAAAGCACTGGAACAACGCGAAATCGTTGTGGAGTCAAACTTGGATGCAAGTTCTAGGCAGAAAGAGGAGAAAGGGAAAACAGTGGCTCACTACGAACACACGGAGACTAACAGAAGAAAGAAGGATGCTGAAACAAAAGATTACCCAGTGCATTGACGAGCAACGAAAACAGGAGTTGAATACAAGCTACAATACTCTGAGCAAAATAGTAAAGAAGACCGCCAGAGAATACAAAAGACAATATTTTGAGGCTATGGCGAGTAAAGCAGAACAAGCTGCAAGCAAAGAAGACCTCGCAACACCATGATAAACAACCAGGTTTCTATTGGGGAAACGATCAACACAAATCAAGCCAGTGAATGATGACAATGAAAAGCCAATCACCAAGGAGGTGAAGCCAGGGAAACAATGGGCTGAACACTTCAAAAGACTTCTAAATCGAACGTCACTTGCAACGCGCCCAATAATGCCAAGAGTGGAAGCAGGGCTACCAGTGGACACCTGAAGGCAATCATGATGCTAAAAACTGGAAAAGCAGGGGGACCAGACGGAATCCCAGCAGAGGCGTTGAAAATGGACCCCGAGACATCAGCGGACTTGATGATACCAATACTAGAGAAGGTGTGGAAAGAGGGCAAGGTACCTGCGGATTGGAAGAAAGGCCACTTATTTAAACTACCAAAGGCGACTTAGGTCGATGCAAGAACTGGCGCGGCACTTTGCTCCTGTCCATCCCAAGCAAAATACTAAGCCGCATCATCCTGGAGAGGATCAAAAGGCCTTGGATGAAAACTTCACTAGTAACAGTCTGGATTCAGGAGCAGCAAGTCATGAATCGATCAAATCGCAACACTACGGATCATCACTGAACAAAGCTTGGAATGGCAGTCAGTTCTCTATCTAAACTCCATTGAATTCGAAAATGCCTTCAACAGAGTCGATCGAGAGGTGATTTGGAAAATACTAGGCTACTACAGGGTGCCACCAGCAATTATACACATCATCAAACAGTTGTACGTTGATGCTACATGCCAAGTAACCCAAAACAGGAAACTCACGGAATCCCTCGAAGTGAAGAGAGGAGTAAGACAAGGTAGCTGCCGACTATCTCCAATGATTTTGCTGATTGCAGTAGACTGGATAATGCGACAAACAGCAGGCAGTGAGGAAACAGGCATAAAATGGACCCACACAAAACTCTTGGAGGATATGGATTTCGTCGATGATATATGTCTAATTTCCCACAAACCGGAAGATATGCAGGTGAAAAGCAACAAGTTGGCGATAGAAGAAGCATCAAAGATACGACCTCCTTCAGGTAAACATACAGAAAACAGAGGTGATGAAGACTTCTGACCAACAGCAACGATAACAGACAACAATCAGCATAAATGGGAGAAATCTGAAAGAAGCAACCTCCTTTGCTTACCTGACTACAAGCGGACGGAACTGATGAGGATGTCAAAGAAGCGAGGCAAGCTTCCATTACTCCCAAGGCTCTGTGGAGATTAACAGCACCTAGCATGAAAATGAAAATAAGGTCCAGATTTTCAACTGCAATGTGAATTCAGTGCTACTTACTATGTGGATCAGAGACTTGGCCAGTGTGTCATGAAGGGCACTTGAAACAAACTACAGGCCTTAATCAACAGCCGTCTTCGCCCACTACTACTCAAGATCAGATAGCCAGAAACTTCAGCAACAGCGTGGGATCTCTGGCAATGAACGAACCAACCCACCAGGAACCAAGTGTGTAACAAATATGCAGGGAGAAGTGGAGATGGATTGGCCATAATCTGAGAAAACAAACCACCGAATGACGTCACACGCCAGGCTCCCGCTCGAGCGGAACTCAAATGAGAGGCGGCGAGTTGGTGGTCAGTGCTAGAGTGACACGGAGGAGGTCGTGTGAAAATGAGATGAAATCGTGTGGGTAGAAGTGGAGCCAGGTGAGAAGTTTGGCGGAGGAGGGAACGCGAAGAAGGTCCCCTATATTCCTCCAGGAAATAATAATATTCAAAAAACCTAGGCTGGATAACTAGCTTGCCAGTTTCCTGGACACCCACTAGCCAGGGTTGGGCGTGAGAATAGCGACCTTGCACCAAAAGCCAATCAAAGTGCTATAGAAACTTCAATGAACAATGAAAATATTAAGAATACAAAAATCATACAAAACAATTTCAATCTGCCGTGGGATCGGAGAGGCGAAATGATAAGGGCTATTGAAAGCCTTCAGGAAGCCACTTAGCCGATATGTCTTCCCTCGCCGAAAGCAAGAGGAAGAATTGTGACGTTAAATGTCTGTACAACGTACGAAGTTGGGAAGGCTGCCCAAGTAGCCAAAGAATTGAGAAGACACGGCATGAAAGGCTGAGGGAGTCAGTAATCTACTCTGGTCACCCAGACGGCGACTGCAAAAACACTGAGGCAGTTGATGGCTGATATGTTGTCATCAATGGCAGCCAAAGCCCTATTTCAGCGGGAACCAGTTTCATCCAGGATCATGACAGCAAGATTCAACTGAAAAGGAAAGATGGTTGCAATTATCCAATGATACGCACCTACAAACAACGATGAACAGGAGAAGAAGGAGGATTTCTTTAGACAAGTACAAA